TTTGTCGGAAGCTATCTTGACCCGTATACCGCTATCTCCGACCATCTTGGAGGCCGCACTGCGCTCTCTGAAGCCCTCTTGGGGCCATATTGGGGCCTCTTGGGCCTCTTGGGAAAGGAAGCGCACTAGACCGCCTGCGCCCAGGGGCCTGGTGGGAATCCAAAACCCCGCTCCAGGCCGAGCCCCGCCCCCGCCCCCCCCCCCCCGCCCCCCCCCCCCCCCCCCGTATTTCGGCGTTGTGGCTTGGTACGGCCGTGGAACGCGCACGACCCGACCCCGAGAGTTCCCCCAACACCAGAATTGGCATCGCGCGGGTTTCCTCAACATGAGATTTGGCATCGCGCAGGCATCCCCACCTTTCAATTTGGTATCATGAAGGCATTTTCAACCAGGGGGGCTTGCATGCTTTTCTGATCGCACGTTGCAGGTGGCTCCATTTACCTGCGGTCGGTCAGCTTCGGGGAGCTTCTTGGTGACGACAGCGGCTGCGCAGCAGGCGCTGCTATGCACGGCGGCTAATCTGGCGCGCACGTTTTGACGGGCGCTCGAGAGCGGCCCCGCGCTTCGTTCGCGCGCGGGCGCAGTCCGCGTCTACCACTCTGAAGTTTGGTTGGCGCCGTGCCTGCAATTTTGGTGGGTGGCGCGTCGGCGTCGATCGAATGGGTTTGCGTCGGCCGTCCCGCAACGGCCTCGCTCAGTTTGGCTTGGATAGATTTCGGCTGGTCTCGGTCGGTCTCGGTTTGCCTCGATCGGTCTCGGTCGTCTCTCGATGGCGTCGGTCGATCTCAATGGCTCTGGGACGCGGCTGCGCGAGTCCGCGGTCGAGCGAAACCGAGCGACCGATGCCGAACGAGGTCGACTGAGTTATACGGACGGCGGCCGAAACCAGTCGAGACCGAACCAGACAACCGGGACCCATTAGGACCGACCGAAACTGTTTGGGCCTTTTCGAGGCTGCGCCCGCCATGCGCGCACATCGCAAGGTGGAGCGGTTCCCAGCGCGCCCGCGCATTCCACGTCGGTTCGTGGGCGGGGGGGGGGCACGTGCTAGACATGCCCCGCGGGGCGTTGCGCTCGGCCATAGTAGGTCATTATGTTTTTGACGGCATCGCTGGGTACTATCAAGGCGCGCGGGCTCACTTAGGATATTTCGCGTTGGCGAAGTGACGGGATCATGCCAACGGCATTCGCCGCGCGCGTCTCGAACGTCAGTTTCCGTTTCGCTTGCGGTTTGAAGCGATGTTACGTCAGTCGTTCGTTGGAAATGTCGCGCGAACAACGCCCATGCCGTTTTCCCACCAACTCTGCAACGACACAGGGGTCACGTATTGGAATCCTGGCAGGTCGTTGCCGGCGTTGCTCGGAACACCCCGAAAGAACATCGCGCAATTTTCCAATGTCGACGCGAAATCGGGCCTCGGCTTACGTGGGCGAGGTTGCGCCGACGCTAGCGTCGCGTCGGGCAGCCCAATGAGCGCTTGCACGTAAGAGACTTGACGCATCATGGTGAATGATGAGGTTGCGCAAAAGTTTCGTTTTGTTGCCGCGCGCATTGCTTTGCTGGTGCCTCGTAACAACCTCGTGCTGGGTTGGTTCGCCGTGGTTTCGCCGCTCTGTCGCGAGTGCCGCTTCGTTGGCGCCTCCGGGCGCCTTGCGAGCACCCCGTGCGCAGGGGGGGGCCCCCAGCGTTTCGCCGTGTTCCAGCTTGCGCCGCTGCGCGGGCGCCTCGTGGGCGTTTCTCACGGGTCTGCCAGAATATGGCCGCCGCGCCGCTCGCGGCGCGCCGCGGAATTTTGCTCAACAAGTTATTTCCCCCTCCCTCCCTCCCCCCCCCTCCGCCCCTCCGTCATGTCGGTTCTTCCCCCCCCTGATTCTCCTTCCCCCCCATCCGTTGGGCACGTGGCCAAACCAGCCTCCGTGGCGGTCGCCGGCGGCGCCAGGGGATCCTCTTGGGGCGGTGGGCTCGGGATGACAGCTCGTGCTCCTGCTCTTGAGCCATCTTGAGGCGTTCTTGGGCTGTCAGAGGCCGCGCTGGGGCATCGTCGAGCTGCCTCGGAGCTTGTTTGGCCGTTTTCGAATCCTCTTGAACGCCGCTTGGGCCGTTGTGGAGCAACGTTGATGATGGGCGGGGCTTTCTGGGAGCGGTGGAGGCCAGACGTGGCGCGACTGCCAAATTTGGGCATGGAAGCGCGTGGTGGGGTCTCTTCTGGTAGCTGTTCGTGCGTATCTCATGGGTCTCTTTGGATCAATTTTGAGGCGTTGTGAGGGCACCGTAGATATTGTAGGGGACATGTTGGGGGCATTGGGGCATTTCTGGGTTGTCTCGGGCGCGCCTCAGGCAGTTCGCGCGCGCCTCGGGGTTCTCATGGCCCGTCTCGGAGTCTTTGGATTTGGGAAGTTTGCGCGGAAGGACCCAAGTGTTTTTGATGGCGTAGTATGTTTTCAACGTGTGAAGCGCGCCCCCATGACTGCAAGCCACGCACATTTGATAACGGGTCGCGTTGTGCCCCAGAAGCTTGGGAAGCAACCCGCGCCGCAATTCCAGACATGGTTGAGGTTTCGTCTGGCGCATGCGAAATCCGGTTGAGTTTTTTAGTTGGCCGTGCGCGCGGTCTGGGGCCAGGCTGGTTGATGCTAAAACAGGAGTGGTTGATGCCAAAAACAGGGTGGTTGATACCAAACGCCGTAATGGTTGATACCAAAAACAGAGTGGTTGATACCAAAAACGGATGGCTGATACCAAATACAGAGTGGTTGATACCCCGGATATGGGTTGAGGAAGGCACGTGGCATCAACGAAAGAATTGGTATCAACCGGCGGAAAAGTGGTATCAACCGGCGAAAAGTGGTATCAACCTGCGGAAAAGTGGCATCAACCGGCGCGAATTTGTGGTATCCGCCGTCGGAAAGTGGTATCAACCACCGGAAAAATGGTATCAACCGGCTGAAAAGCGGTATCAACCTGCGGAAAAGTGGTATCAACTGGCCACCAAATTGCATCCCATTTGCGATGCCGCGCTTCGTGCGATGTCGACGTCAGATCGCCCGCGGCGCCCCAGAGTGGCCCTCATTGCATTATGGGCGCTGATTCGCGCATGAGGGCGGCGGGAGACAGGAGGGAAGGAGGGCTGGCAGAAGGGCGGAGGAGGAGCAATCGTCTTCGCGGGGGCACGGTTGGAAACCCAATGGGCTACCTTCAATTCGTTTGAAAAGCGCCGAATGCTTTCAGAGGGATCTGCGCTCGCCAGGTGAGACGCAAATCTCTTATCAAATGCAATCTTCAATATCCTCTCCTATCCTCTCTCCCTTTTCCTGGGCGCTACGCGCGCCCTGCCCCGCGCGCCTCAAGCAGCATCGGCGTTTAAATGCAACCGGTTTTCTGAGTAAGAGGGCGCGTGTTACTCCGAATGGCGATCTCGCGTCAGCGCCGCGTACGATCGTCGCCAATCTTTGCAGCAGTTGCACGGGTCGAGTGCACGCGTTGCTCGACGCATTTTTCCGTAGCGAAGCAGGTAAGGGGGGAGAATGAATCCGCTGCCCTTCGCGAAGGCTTCCCTCGGCACGCCCGAGTGAGGGCGACCGCGGCGCACAGAAAGCGCAACTTGACAATGGCCCCAGGCTTGGGTAGCAATGGCGAAACGCCGGCATCGGCGGCAGGGTTGTCCTGTGAACGTGGCCGAAATTCTGGCCGCTGTACAAATCAACGGGGAACGAGGCAGGAAGAAAGAGAACCGGCAGGAGGGGGATGGGCGGGAAGAAGACTGCACACATGCAGCCAACACTTTAGCACGCAGGTGCCGCCGCTGCTCAGGCTAACGGTCACCACGTGGTGCAGAGTTCGGGCCAACCTGCGATGGGTGAGCCGTTCCGCACGACCTCGGAAATGGCGAAACTTCAAAGCGGAGCCCGAGTTCTGTGAACGACCGCGTGAACTTAGGAGCAGGACAGCGTCGCTTGGGCCAGCGGCGGGCTAGCGGTGGGCCTTTGAAACAAAACTCACGGTTCTTGTCCGTGCGGTTGGCCTTGTAAAAACACGATTTTTGTCGGCATAGGCGCTCCCGCTCGGGTGTTATCCCACTTAGTGGGATAATTTAAATGTTGTCCCACTAAATGGTATAACATCTCAGTGTTGCCCTAGCAGGTGCTACCCACTAGTGAGTATCCCGCTAGGTGATAGCTGACTAGGTTATAACACTAAGCGTTATGCCACTGAGGTGTTATCCCGCTAAGTGGGATAACACTTCGGTTGACAACTCCGGATAGATCGCGCATCCGCGAGCCAGTGCTGGTTCTGAACAGTTCCGTCGCCGCGCCGAAACCCGCCCGCGTTGCGAGATGGGCGTCGCCCAAACGTACGATTCCGCGCCTTTGGCGCGGGCGCGTTCCAATTCAACTCATCCCTGTCCTGCTGTTGCGTTCGTGGTTGCGTTGGCCGCCTCGCTGTTTGACCAGCGCGCAGCCCTTTCGTTCATGCGTTTACGTCGTCGGAAGATCCAATAGCGCTGTTTCGATCGGGTGCGCTCCAGCACAGGGATAGCGTACACGGGTGTTCTGCGTCCCGTTGCCACGCCTGCAATGGTTGCCTTTGCCATGCGCAATCCTATTTTGGCCACCCCAAATACCATTCATTCAGTTGAGGACCCCCCTACAGATACCATGCGAGCTGTTGAGGCCCATTGGGGTCGTGTTGCGCCGGGTTCCGCCTGGCCGCGGCCTTGCCATTGTGGCTCGAGAGATTTCTTGCTCCACAAGCTAGTTCGACCGAGTTTTTTTCCTGATGGCGTTCGCTGGGGCCCGCGTTCCAGACCATGGCGCCGAAGCGCGTCAAGAAGACCGTCGGCAAACCTCCTGCGACCTAGGGTGCTGGGGCGAGGAAGCGCCCGGCAGCTGCCGCGCCCAAGGTGGGCCCGAGTGACGCGGCCAATGCCGGGATCGAGATGTGGCAGATTGCTGCTAGTGGTGGGTCCGCGTCAAGGCCGGCCACACCAGCCGCGTTCAAGGATGACCGCGCTGGCCATTTGCAGGGAGGGCGAGCCCGACCAGAGGCAGACGTCGCTTGCCCATCGCCATGTCTTCAAGAGCAGCAGGGGGGGCATCGGCCCCGAGGACCTCGAGGAGTTCGACTGGTGCAAGTCGAAGGAGTGCCAGATCAAAGGCAAGGGGCGCTTGGCGAACGAGATTATCAACGCGCACGTGCCTCAGGGCGCAGGCTGCGGGTCCACCGTCGAGCCAGATGCGCGCGCGCTCTCGCGCGTGAACACTCGGGAGAAGGTGAAGAAGGCCCATCGGATCCGTGCGTTTTTTGTTCTGACCACCCGCGCACCCCGCCCTTCTGCGGGGGGGGGGAAGGGGGCGAGGGTGGCTGACGGGAGAGAGCGGTGGGGGGCGATGGGAGGCGGCGGGGCGCGATTGGAACGACGGGGCGATAGAAGATGCGGGGGTGGACGAAGAGACGGATGATCGAATGGCGACCCCCTCGAGGACTCCGATGTCTCCACGAGCTTGAAGAAGAACATCATGATCGCGACTGTCTTCCACGGCAGCAAGACTGCTTCCGAGGAGGCCGAGGGCGAGGGGGGCGCCTTGACCGACCCCGAGGGCGACGCCCGATACCAGTGCGATTCGAAGGTGAAGAAGAACACCCGCTCCCAGAGCCAGAAGGAGATCGGCGCGGAGGTTTGGAACGCCAAGGACAAGAAGCAGTTCGTGGGCGCCCTGGTCAACGTGCTCGAGGACGGCGATGGACCCGAGTGGATGAACATGGCGCGCGCGCTGAAGACCGAAAGGAAGACCATCGAGGACGACGGCGCCGACGACGCCGACACGATGCTGTTGCAGAATTGCAGCGGCAGCTTCGCGGGCGCAGCCCTCGACTTGCAGAGGGTGGCCCCTCTGGTGCGCCGCGTCGCCGCGAACCGCGTGGCCAGGCGCGTCGCGCGGGGGGGGGGCTCGACCTCCTGCAGAAGGCCGCGGAGCCGCCCGAGGCTGTTCAGAAGTTGTTGATGACTGACCCCAAGCAGGTGCGCAAGCACCAGGCAGAGGGCGCCCTGATCGCCCCGGGCAAGATCTACGAGCAGCTAGCCGAGCTCCATGCGGCGCTGAAGGCGATCATCAAAAACGACACGAAGAGTAATAAGGCAATCAAGGGCCAGTGAAGCTACCCTGCTGCAGCGCGAGCACTCAGCACTCTTCGCGCGAGGCTGTGTCGCGCAGCCGCCGCGCGCGGTCAGCCGGCTGAGCGGGGATGTGAGGGTCCAGAGCTGATCCCCCCAACTCGGTTTGAGAACGCGCGCAGGTCTCTTGTGCCCCCGAGTTATTTTGGAGTAGTACATCCACGTAAATAATATGCACATTGTATGTGTATTCTTAGAAATCTGGTCATTCTGTATCACCCGTATGTTAGACATGGCGTAGGTTCATGTCATAGCACTACTCGGTGGATCTTAGATTTATTTAAGTTTTTTTATGCTATAGCTTAGATGTGTTACCAGGTTCATCTTAGGTTTATCTTAGGTTTTGCAATCTTATATAGCATCTCTGAGATTTCACAAGTCCAAGATTATTTTATATAAATCTAAACTATAGCTAATATAAATCCAATACACATCAGATTTACACCTAATATTTATATATTATCTTATATATTAATACGGTAAATACGTGCTATGAATCTAATACAAACCTAAGACACATATATTATACATCTAGTTACCTATACGATGAAAAAAAAAAGTGAATATTATCCATTCCCAAATCATGACGCCAGACCCTGGGTGTGATGCAAAAGAGGTGATGGGGGAACATAACGTGCCAAACATGCGATTGTTCTATTTCCCCCGCTTCGGCTTGGTCCACCCCGCTCCCCTCTCTCTGTTCTCCCCCCAATCGGGCGTCCCGCAACCCCGCCCCCCCCCGCGGCGCTCCCTTTGGAGTAGAAAGTCGTTTGTTTTAGATGCCTTTGGTAGGGCCAGTTGTTCGCGTTCTTTCTAGCATCCTGGGGAATGCAATGCGCGCGCTGCGAAACGCACAGACAACGCAGACACGTGCCCTGTACGACAGCTGCTGGACCGTGCTTGTAGTGTGTATACACTCGCCTGGGAACGCTTATATATGGCATGGTCGTCGCTGCTATGTGTTGTCCAGGGCCGGCGATTGTAGGGTCGCCGTGCTGGACTCGCGCTCTGTGCAGGGCTGCGTCTCGCCATGCGGGGGATCGGCGATATAATATGTTCTTTGCGCAAGAACGATCGCAGGGTCACTGGTGAGCAGCACTGCCCGCCATCGCACAAGGGAGAAACGACCCCGTTCCAGGAGGGGGGATCCTCGAGACGACGAGCTGAAGGGAGGGGGCTGCACCGTCTCACACCAACGCCCCCCCCTAGGTTCCCCGACCGAAATGCATGCAAGTGCCGCCAGGACGGGCGAGGACGGGGAGTCCCATGGATCCCTTCGATCCCTTCGCAGCGCTTGCATCCCCAATCAGTGCTTGCATTCACAGTTCCCCAACCAGTGCTTGCAATTAGTTCTTGCAGAACGTGACCCCAGTTAGTGCTGCAATTCATAGATCCCAAATCAGTGCTTGCATTCGTAGATTACCGCGCAGTGCACGCAGCCAGTTTTTGCAGAACGTGGCCCCAATCAGTGCTTGCATTCATCGATCCACAATCAGTGCTTGCACTCATAGATCACCAGTTCCCAATGCAGTGCTTGCAGTGGGTGTTCCCAATCAGTGATTGCACTGAAAAGTGATACTGCAACGCATGTTCCCAGGTGTGCATTGCATCAGGGCTTCCGAATCAGATCTAGAATTTGCATTGCGTTGCGCCCCTGATGGGGCGCATGTCCAAATCAGAGCTTGCATGTTGCGGTGCCACTTGCGCGATGTCGGGGCGAAGGAAAGAAGCAACACCAGGAGGCATTACACGCCATTCTAATCATATCTGACATGCGACCGCCCTCTCGTCCTGATGGAACATTGGATTTGCGGCTCGAGCGGTGGCCGCTCGGTTTTATGCCGGGGCGACGACGCGAACGTGCGCGGCTGGAGGGTCGCGACGCAGCGAATCGCATCGCATGGAAAAAACCATTGGCATTTGAGGGGGGGCCCTGTTAATCCTTCGGGTTCGCGCTCTCGGGCTCGGGCGGTGCGCGTTCGAGGAAAGCCGGGGATCGAACATTGCCCGAGAGGGCCTCGCTTCGTCCACGGACTGAGGGGGGGGGGGGGGGGCGCGGGGGGGGGGGGGGCGAGGTGCGCCGCTCGGGGGCGGAAAGGGGAGGGTTGGGGATCCCGTGCTGTCTTCGTCTAATGTGGAGGGCAGGAAAAGGAGGATCTCAGGTTTTTTCTTCTTCCGCGCGCGGTGTCAGCCCGCAGGCGCGGTCGGCGGGTTCGACAGAGGGGGGGGGGGGCTCGTTTTGACCCAGAGATGGGCCAGGGGTGAAGTCAGCGCAGCACATGCGCAGACAAAAGGCAGCCACGTTGACAGGGTTGTGTTCGGTTGGCACAGGTGGGGCTAACTGTAACAACTGCAAGCGCGATTTGGACGGATGGCTTGGCGGTTTAAACGCCCCCCGCTCTTGCGTGTTCAGCATCGAAGTGAATGGCAGTTCTGCTCGCTCGGTAGGGGCTCCGACTACCAATTGTGATATGCAGTTTTTGCTGCCGCGCCACGTGGTGCGCGGGCGTTCGGGTCGCATCAGACCATGTTCATGGATGCATTATTCGGCCCTGTGGGCGGGCCCTCCAACCTCGAGGAGTTCTGTACTGAGGTCGAATCTAGAGGCGACCCGAGGCTCGCGCAGCATCCGACGCTTCGCATGCCTCGGTGGCGTCAGAGGGCCATCCCTGTCGTGCTCCGCGGGGGCGCCGCCCCCGTGGTGGCGCGCGGCCAGGCTGCGGCCGAATCGCTCGACTGTGTGTCGCGGCCATCTGTATCCGCAAAAGGGGCAGTGACAAGCCAGTAGATGTTGATTTTCAGTTGCATTGAAAGTAGTAAAACGGTGGTGACTATGGAGCGGGCTTGGGCGTTTATAATGCTGTCATTCCAATCTTTGCACAAGGGCGCACATCAGAAGAAACAGCATCTTCCAATCTTATGCGCCTGGAACCAGCGAGGCTGTGCTGGCATACTCTGGCGCGGCACTAGCTGGCTGTTATTTCTGCGTCATTTGGTGCATTGAAGGAGACCTCGACTATTATGCAAAGTGCCTCAGGTTGAAGCACTGCCAGAGGGGCGACTTCAGCGAATGCGATGATTACGGCACGAAGCAGCGCGACCCGACCTGCACCCGTTCAATTTCACCAGAGGCTGCAAGTGGAAATTGCTTCAGCAAAGCGCTACAGAATGGCGCCGCAAGCGTGGCCACAACACGCTCGTGCTGTTCAGCGCCTTTTCGTTTTTTTGCCAATACGAAACATCGAAGCTGACGAACTTCACGCACTTTGGGTCGGTCTGTGCCAGCGCGCGCTGGCAAGTGCATTGTGGCTTCTGTGCTTCCGCATTCTCGGCGGCGCAGTCAAGGATAACCTAGTGAATGTGTGGACTAATATTCAATCCCATGGAGGACGCAGCTACAGCAGCATCACGCTCAATATATTCATGAATGAAAAAACCGATGGGCGAGTTTCCAAAGCTGGCAGGGGGGCTCCGGCCAAATGCCTGGTGGCATCATTGTTGCGCGTGTGGGCATCGCATCGTTCGGATGTTGTGCTATGTGACACAGTGTTGCATCTCCTTGAAACGCTTCTTTAGATGAGCGATCTAGTAGACCCGACAGCAGGGGCGGCTGTCATGCCTCTAGCCGGCTGTGCCGTGTTGGCGACATCGGTGAACCAGTTTTTAGGGTTTTGCACGCATGCAGGCGTGCCCGCCGATCGCGAAGGCCTGTATATTTTCTCAGCAATCCCAGAATGCCTGGCACTGGATGTCGAGGAGCCGCTGGCTCCACCCCTGTAGGGCAGCATGCTGGCTGGATGAGGATTTCATGAAACATTGTAAACTCCTCGCGGGGTACGCCACCAGAGGAACTGCCAAGCGCCAGGCCCCTTGCCATTTCATGCCTCGGTATTTGAAAACCCTTGCCTTAGCACAGGAGTTCGTTGCAGAGTGAATTGGCGCCCGAACGACATATGCAACTCGCATGACACTAGCTAAACATGTAACGACAACGGATGGCAGCAATGATAACGAGTATACACAGAGGAGTGAGGAGCAACGCGGGGATGAGGATAGGGGGGGGGCGAAGAAACGAGGGATGAGGCGGATAACGAGGAGGCAGGCATGAGTGAGGAACAGGGGGGGGGGAGAGGCAACAGGTGCGCAGGCGGTCTAGAGCGTTTCCTTTTCCACGAGGCCCAGGAGGCCCAAGAGGCCCCCAAATGGCCCCAAGAGTGCTTCAGAGAGCGCAAGATGGCCCCCAAGATGGTCGAAGATAGCGGTAGATGTGTCAAGATAGCCTTCGGCACGCGCCCAAAAAGGCCCCCAAATACCCCCCAACGGGCCAGCATCCTTCAACCACCCAAGGAAAATCAATGTTTTGTTTGCTTTCTCGCTGTTTCGCTTCCGCTGGGCTCTCGAGGCCTCAAGATGGCCCCAAGACGGCCCAGTATAGCCCCAAGAGGGTTCCAAGAGGGCCCCGCAACGGCCCCAAGAACGCCCAATAACTCCCCAAGAGCGGGCCAAGAGGGCCCCAGGACGGCACTGTTGAGCCTCCGCTGGGGAGGTCCGAATTGCGGACCCCCTCTTTTTTAGCGAAAAGGGTCCAAGACGGCCCCGAGAGGCCCGTCAGGCATCCGGCATCCCATAACAGCCCCAAGAAGGCCCCCCCCCTCCAAAAGAGCCCATGAGGGCCCCAAGACGCCCCAAAAGAGCACCAAGAGGGCCCCAAGAAGGCCTTGCGAGGACCTCAAGAGAGCCCCAAGAAAGAGCTCCAGGAGGGCCCCAAGAGGGCCCCAAGTGAACCCCACGATGGCTCCAAGTTTCGATACGCACGCGAGTTTAAGATACAAATCAGGTCAACAGCCATTACGAGTCATCGAAACACACCTTAAACTTTAATGCGGGCAGCTGTTTGCGAAGCGTCAAGAATTCTTCCCTCTCCCCATCCCTGTTACACCTCCATCTGCCCTTCCTTCTCCCCTCTTCCACCTCTCAC